TTTCACTTCCTGTTGTCTCAAGGACAGGAAGTGAGATTAAATATTGCCTAATGAGGATACAGACAGCAGTAAAAACCTCACAGTGACCCGGAAGAAGAGGCGGGCACCCCTTCTCTGCATGTCTAACAAGAGCCAACTTCCTGTAATGTACGTACAGTACTACGAACCAGACCCAAAAAAGACGGGCACTCCTTGTCGGCATGAGTGCGGTAGCATTACAACTACCCCCGCTGTACGGTAGGAGCCTCCAAGCCTCCGTTTGTAAGTAGGAGTCGTATGTAAGTCGGATGTATGTAACTCGGGGACTGCCTGTATAGCTAAAAATAAATCAGAGGTTTAAACTCTTCACTACTCTATACAAAACAACAACAAAATCTTGGCTATGCATACACTTTATATGCAACACAAACTTTTGGGGATTGATATAACTATTGCTTCAACAACACTGGCAGCTGTGGAAGGACCGTACGTATCTCTAACTACCTCTACTCCTCTTATATGTTATCTTTAATGTCTATTGATGTGATTGTTGACAACATTGAAAAAAGTTACGGGATCCATGCTGTAGAGTTCTTGCCCATTGTTTGCATCGACACTATGTGCTTTGATTTGTACTGTGTAGCTGAGTATTTGCAATATTTTTGTATGGATATTCCTGTTTTATAAAACAAAGAATTTAAGAGAAATAGAAAAAAACCTGGCAGCTGTGTGTATGTATTTCTTTAACTGCTAGCAGGTCTGTTGCAAAGGAGCCCGTCCACTGCAATCTGGTATAGGAAGCAGTTACAACTAGCCCTCAGAACAGCAGTGGATCTGGCAACTAGCAGAAGTGAAAATGACATGACCCGCCATAGCACGGGCCGAGGCTGTATGCTAAAACTGAACAAAATAAAGATCATAAGCTTTGAAAGTTTTGGAGAATAGAACCCAAAAATCTGCTAACAAGGTTACTGTTCGGGAGAAGATGGTCTACAGAGTCAGCCACAAGTGTTGTAGAACTCTTAGAAGGTCCAGGACAAGATCGCATTGTAATTAATTTTATGGCTCTTTTGCATTACCACCGTGAACTCATACTGACCACAGTATGGCCTCATTCAGACGAGAAAAGGCCGGCACATACAGTTCCGTGCACGGCCGTATCAGGCAGCTCCCGGGAAGGACAGGTGCTGCGTGTGATTAGTTACGCAGCCCCTGTCCTTCTCTATGGGAGTACGTGGCCATACGCCATCCTACGCTCACCCACCCTGCACGTCCGTGCGGGTGTCCGTACTCGTGCGCTGACAGGATGGATCCCGCCTGCGTCCGAGCCGGGACACCCGCCCCTGCACTTGGGGTGAGCGTAGGGCGGCGTATGGCCGCGTACTCCCATAGAGAAGGACAGGGGCTGCTTACTAATCACACGCAGCACCTGTCCTTCCCAGGAGCTGCCTGATACGGCCATGCACGCAGCACGGAGCTGTACGTGCGGGCCTTTTCTCGTGTGAATGAGGCCTTATTGTGGTCAGTATGAGTTCACGGTGGTAATGCAAAAGAGCTATAAAATTAATTACAATGCAATCTTGTCCTAGACCTTCTAAGAGTACGTGCCGGCCTTTTCTCGTGTGAATGAGTCCTATAAGAGATCCTTTATCTGGAATCTGCCCATGTCGCACAGGTGATACAAAATGGAAACAAGTAGCTAAACCTAGTAAAATCCAGTGTAAGCTCAAACATCAGTTTTGCATTTTGGAACTTGTATAGACATTTTAAGTTTTAGGGTTTTAGGTATAGCACTATATACTGAAAATCTGTTTTTTTTATAGTGGGAAAAAGTTAGAACCTTTGTGAGGCTTTCACAGCGGTCCCCCTGAGAAGATCTACCTTCAATTTCTGTCCATATGATGACACAAAGTGAGTTAATCACCCCAATAGGGTAGTGATCACCAAAACAAAGATTATTACCCAAAGCAAAAAAAGGTAGTACACTTTACCTATCCTATAGCTTCCCATTCTGTCCCAGGCAAGCACTGTGTTCATTACCTATGGTACTCGTTTCTCCTAGAAAATAATAACCGTTTGGGCAGCCTGCACAGAGTCCGTCTTAACCACAGTGAAAAACAGACAGATGGGGGTCAGAGTTGATCAACACTGTGCAGACCCTAGGTAGTGATTTTTCACCACAAAGATGAAGTGTTCTTTGGAGTTTATATTCTTCGGAGGCCGAGTGGAAGAGGATTTTTTTTTAAAAATGTACTTATTTTTAATTTAGCGGTTGGACATGTGTAAACCATACTATGTCTACATAATGTTCTTCCCGCTTCTTACCAGCAACCAGCCTACGCACATCCCTGGAGTGGTGTTATCTCCAAGGAACATCAATGTAGTAGCTGAAAAAGCCAACCTCTCCGTCTATTCCCCAGGGTGTCTGATGAAGTCTGAAGGTCAGCATTGCTATTGCACCTAATGTCTATGGGAACATTCATTGACAGAACTTCAGTGATCTACAAATGAGGCCAGAGCCTGAAAACAACAGCGAGATTTCCTTTTGCTGCCAATTTAACAATGTTCTTGTGGGTTAGTCTAGCCCAGAGAATAATGTATGAGCTGCCTGATAATGAAACTTATTGGACACTGATCTTGTTCTTATTATCTCAATCCCGACCTTGTACAAATACCTATCTTGGCGCGCGCAAAATGCAAACAGTGTTTTAATTTTTAATTAGGCTGCTCTTTGTGCTCAAATTCAAGGGAGGAAAAGAGATGCTGCTGTAAGGATTACTACTTCATTACACGTTCTCTGCGAGCTATCCCATCAATATTGGTAGTTAATACATTGCAATAAGGAAAGGGGGCTTGTGGCAAACTCCCTAGACTTGCAGAGATTACATGAAAATATAGGGAAATGGAAACTATAACGGTGCATTTGAACTCAGAAATACATACTTGTCTGGGTCAGGGAAGATATGGGTCTAAAAAACACCTGTTCTTAAAGGACTACTCCATGTGAAACGGAAACTGTTTAACCCTCTTAAGAGTATAAAAAGGTGACTCATTTAAGGTTCTTCAGATCTAGGGGAATTCATAGTAAACCTGTGGTTTGCTCATGCAGTGCAAAGCAACAGGTTCCCCATACTGCAACCTACTCCAGCAGCACGTAGTAAACATGACTTCTCTTCCCCACATGTTCATTCACCTGGTGGGAGCAAAGAGAGAAAAGCCCAATGCATTCGGCGAGGACCCTATTTGCCCACATGTGATGGCACTAGACCAATTAACCAGTACCAGTGCAGCCGCAAGAAAGAAGGGGAGTGAGTAGTATGCTTCCCATATGTAGAAGTACAGAGTTAGAAAAGGTAACAGCACCGGCTCCTGGTACCTGGCCTGGTGCCATCACATGGGGTCAGGAAGAGAATCATCAGTCCTGTATAAGCTCCAAGTCACAACTCAGTATACTTATACTTTGTAGCTGCTACTCAGCAGCTGAAAGGAGTGGAAGAAGCCAAGGAAGTTAAGTACCGTATATACTCGAGTATAAGCCGAGTTTTTCAGCCCATTTTTTTTGCTTAAAAGTGCCCCCCTCGGCTTATACTCGAGTCAGCGTCTCAGTGGTCAGGTTTCTTCTTACTTACCTCGCCGAGCGTCGCGTCACTGCTGCTCTGGTGGGCGGCGCTCCGAGCAGGGTCATCTGGCAGTCTCCGGCCACCTAAATTAGGACCCGGAGACTGCCAGATGACCCTGCTCGGAGCGCCGCCCACCGAAGCAGCAGTGACGCGACGCTCGGCGAGGTAAGTAAGAAGAAACCTGACCACTGAGACGCTGACTCGAGTATAAGCCGTGCCGAATATAAGCCGAGGTACCTACTTTTACCACAAAAAACTGGGAAAAAGTATTGACTCGAGTATAAGCCGTGCCGAATATAAGCCGAGGTACCTACTTTTACCACAAAAAACTGGGAAAAAGTATTGACTCGAGTATAAGCCGTGCCGAATATAAGCCGAGGTACCTACTTTTACCACAAAAAACTGGGAAAAAGTATTGACTCGAGTATAAGCCGTGCCGAATATAAGCCGAGGTACCTACTTTTACCACAAAAAACTGGGAAAAAGTATTGACTCGAGTATAAGCCGTGCCGAATATAAGCCGAGGTACCTACTTTTACCACAAAAAACTGGGAAAAAGTATTGACTCGAGTATAAGCCGTGCCGAATATAAGCCGAGGTACCTACTTTTACCACAAAAAACTGGGAAAAAGTATTGACTCGAGTATAAGCCGCGTTTTTCAGCCCATTTTTTTTGCTTAAAAGTGCCCCCCTCGGCTTATACTCGAGTCAATACTTTTTCCCAGTTTTTTGTGGTAAAAGTAGGTACCTCGGCTTATATTCGGGACGGCTTATACTCAAGTATATACGGTATGTGCTTCTGGGGAGAGAAAGTTAAAGGAGAACTATGAGGTGAGTGTTTTTCACTCATCCTCATAGTTCTAGGCGACCTGTGACAATGAAACTGTCACAGGTCGGCTCAGTAGATCGGGAAGTGAGCGAACACATACCGGCGTTCGCTCACTTCTCGATCTTGTCGCGGCAGAGAGCCGTGACAGGGGAGGGACTGGATTCCCCAATCCCCGCTGTAGCTCGCGGTATACTGAGCTTTGGGTGACGGGAGGACGCTAGTTTGTGTCCTCCCGTTACCCTTAGGAGAACTATGGGGAAAAGCCCTAACCCCGTAGTTCTCCTTTAAGTGAACCTAGCATAGGGAAAGAAAAGCTCCCATATTCATTTTGGATATGCTTCTTGCTCTGTCCTTTATTAACCATTCCACTGTGTCACAGTACTTGTTAGAGTATCTAAAAGAGGACAACAATGAATCTGCCTTTTTCCATGTAAAGAAAGCATTAATATGGAAGGAGAGCAGAGAGAAAACAGAAAGGAAAAAGTAAACCGGACACAGAATAACAATTTTGAAAATGATAATGATTGATGACATAATAAATGGACATATCCTGTATATAAGGCGTAACTTACTGGGGTGGAAGGACAAGGGTTGTAGGCTGAGCTTTAGGCCGACGCTTGGCAGACACTCCCATCTGATTAGCTGAACGTTTCAGTGACTGCTGATTTAGCAGACCAGAAGCTAGGCCGGAATGGTACTGCAGCTGGGGAAACAAAGCAATAAGTCTGGATCAGTTACCAGGAAGAAAAAAAACTCATGCTGTAAAAAAATATCCACCAATATAATTACATTCTCCTATTTATATTTCTAAATGTGATGCATTAGGGAATGGTTAAAATCCTGGTCACCTTTTTTTGCCATTTGTGTCTCATTAAAGGGGATTCCCTTAACTCCCTGCCCAGTAAACAAAATAGGAAGTGGAAAGAAATCTCTCCAAGAGTGAGGTAATTCCCCTTTAATACAGTTGTCACAGTAATGTGTTTCCATATAAATATTTTCCCTCCATTTCTGTTCCAGCAAACTCAAAAAAGTCGGATTTCTGACTTCAGAAACATCCTAACTATAAAATACAGTAAAGCCAAGTCCTGATGGACACAGAATTGGTTGTTTGCTTCTGACATGTGTATGTGAATCACATGAGGATCACAAAGTGTTCATATCATTTTCATTGATCTGTACAAGTCGTTGGCATTGTCATGTGAATGCAAAGCCTGCTTGTCTGTCTCTTCTCATCCCCCCAGTGGTTTTCAGGGTCCCCCACACTTTTGGGGGACCCGGGACCATGGCAATGATTTCAGGATGGAGAGCAGGGAGCTGAGATCTGCTCTGGGATCAGTGAGACAGGAGTGCTGTGTAATAGCAATAAGGTTTAAGTTAAGAAAAAAAAAAAGTGATAAAAAAAGTAAAATAAATAAAAATGAAAACAAACAAAGTCATAAAAAAGTTAAAAAATAATAGAATAAAACCAACCCTGCTGTCCCCCGCCATCTGGATGCAAATAAACGCACGTGTAGGGCATTATGTGTGTGTGCCATATTGTGGTAATCTGGCAACAGCACTCTCTAACACACACAATGTGCATTAAAGGGTAAGTTCACTTTCCCAAGTAATTTGGGAAAATGGAACTACTTGCTCAAGTAGATTGTCATGAGGGACAAGCAGATTAGGCACCCACTTTAGTCCTTGGACAAGTACTCTTTTTTTTTTTAATTTCCACACCCCTGAGATCTGTAGTCATGTCTGAGATGAACATAACTGCAAAAAAGGTGCCCTAGCAGAATTAAGGTATTTTTTTTTAGGGGGGGTAACAGTTCTGTCCTCCACACACTTCAGTTACTGCTGTCTGCATCACTGTTTCTCTAAATTCATTATCCTACATCCTACATAAACAGATTCAGCCTAGGTGGACTGACAATTGGGGTAGTAACATGCTGTAGTCACATTGCACTGGAAGGAGATTTGCTCTTCAATACACAGAGCAGGCATGACACTAGAAGATACGATGGGGGAAAATTATCAACACTGGAGCAGACTAAATCTGGAGCAGCTGTGCATGGCAACCAATCAGCATCCACCTTTCATTTTCAAACCTTAGCTGAACAAACTGAAAAAAGAAGCTGATTGGTTGACATAGGCAACTGCTCTAGATTCTTCTGCTCCAGTTTTGATAGATTCCCCTCAATGTTGCTTAGCATCCACCATGGGCAGAGGCAGAGCAGGTGTCATCGGGAGCCATTTCCTGCCACTTTATTGCAGTGTCATCACTACGACACACAGGAACCATTATTTGAGATTTAGCGCCAGATAGATCAAGAATGTTAGAGGCAAAGAAGTAATGTAAAAGGTAAGGCACATTGATTAGAGGAAAGTGTTGATACCGATGAAAAATCATTTTGCCTTGCGTTCCATGTTAATAATTATCTAAGATGGCCACTTATTCCACCCAGAAAAAAATATTTATTTTTTTAATTTAAAACTAAGTTCTTATTCTAAACTTAATCACAGATACAAAACCACTGTGCCCAAAGAGACATCAACCAGAAAATCTCCAAGGAGTCTATAAAAAGACATAAAACCTTCCGGGGTCTCCATCAACAATGGCCTCTTACCATATCCACTGTTCATTAACTGCCAGCTGCAGACGCTGATTGAGGAGAAGAGAATTTAATGAACACGGACTTAAAACAAGTCAAGTTCAGGCAGAAAAAGTGAGTAATTGACACTGATGACAGATAAAACACTTTTTTTTAATCCCCCTTAAGATACATGCAGCAACGGCACCAATTAATTATTTGCCGTAATCATGTCGGGAAATGATGATGTGAATGCACACTACATGCGTATGGGTACTTCTCGGAGTTCCCAGCATCAGCTTCCAAGGCAATTGTGTTCTCTGCTGTCATGAAGCGCTTTATAGGTACCTTCAGGCAGACAATCGGAACGCAACTCTTTTCACACAAGCAGAACTATGTTGAAACGGGCTTCTTGAATCCCAGTGCCTATGGCACTACAGTCTATCAAAACTCCAATGACGCAAAAAGGCAGCTCTTGCAACACCAAAGTTAGCATGGACCTCTACAAAAACAAATGTCTAAAAATAATTTATTTATTTTTAGCACTTATGTCAGAAAGTATGAATGTGAATCTCACAAACCTTTTATTTTGAGATGTTTAAAGCCATCTGGACATTGTTGAAGCAGTGTGTGCTTGAGTGAGTGCATGTATATACACAGATAGCATGTTGGAGGGCGATACAAATACTTGCAGACCTGGGTGCTCACAGAAGTCACATTCAATATGCACTCAGGAATTTTTATCGTTTATCGTTTTTTAGAGGACAAATAGGGCTTTCGTTTTATACCAAATATTTATAAATGAACAGTATATATCATAATACTGATACGTCTTACTGCAATAAAACACCCATAATTATATTCTACAATGTCCCATGAGTACATCAGTACCCCTCCACCCCACATACTGTACATGTTTAATAGGAGTTTATTATGGGAGTTACAAGGCCAAATATAGGGCTTGCTCATTTCAGTCATCATTCATGGAATTTTGGCACATTGCATTTCCAGGCCTAGATCACCTTTGAGACAGTATGGCAGCCTAGGAAAGAACATTTTTCCATAATAACTAGGGATGCACCGATACCAGTATTTTGGTACACAGTACCGATAATTTTTTTCCGGTACTCGCCGATACCAATTACCGAAAGTCCCATTAAGGAAGCCAGGTGGCATGTAATGACCCGCCCCCTGGCTTCCTGATTAGCCAGGAAGCCAGGCACCGTGTAAGGACTCGCCACGCGGCTTCCCGATTAACAAGAAAGCCGTCCCATACGAATCCCCCACTGTGGATCTCTGTCCTTCCTCCGGTACCCAGCCGGAGCGTCTTGCTGTCCAATCATGGAAGCCGGGTTGCCGTGTAATGGTGCGGCGCCCTGCTTCCTGATTGGCCGGGAGGCCGGCTCAATGCTCCCTCGTCATGAGATGACGAGGGAGCATGAAGCCGGCACCCCAGCCAATCAGGAAGCAGGGCGCTGCGTCATTACATAGCGCCCAGCTTCCTGATTGACCAGCTTCCCGGCCAATCGGGAAGCCAGGCACCGCGTCATTACACGCTACCCAGCTTCCTGATTGGCCGGGAAGTCGCCTCCATGCTCTCTCTTCACAAGTGACGAGAGAGCATGGAGCCGATTCCCGGCCAATCAGGAAACCGGCAGCGTGTAATAATGCGCTGCCCGGTTTCCTGATAAAGGAAGTATCGGGCTAGGCATCGGAGCATTTGGGCGAGTACTCCCCCAAATACTCGGTATCGGCACCGATATCGATACTAGTATCGGTATCGGTGCATCCCCAATATTAACATACCATTTTCAAAAGTAGACAACCCAGAGTATTCTAAATTGGGTATTTTGAGTTGTTGTGTGCAGCCACTTTATCAAAAAATGCTGTCCACCCTTAGAAGCTTATACTTTCATCTGTGCTTTCACACACAAATTCCTTTCTCACAGTATATTTCATAAATCCTTATACGTCTTACTGCAATAAAGCCCCAATATTTGTAATTAGCAATGTCTAACAAATATAACGGTACCCCCAGGTACTGGTTATACAGTTTTCTTTTGGAAAGTTACAGGGCCACATATATTGCATACCTATTTCAAAACTTGGAAATTTGAAACATTGATTTACTGGGTCTAGGTCGCCTTTGAGACGGTATGGCAGCCTAGCCTAACTTTTCAGATTGGTGTCAAAAAGCAACGTCAGGACGAGCCAGGTCAAAAACCAGTTTAGACAAAATACTGTGATCAGAAACTAGCTGAAAGGGTAACATTTTAAACACAGGTAAAAATCACACACAAAAAAAGCTGAACGTTACAACTGAAGGGGTTAATTTTTTTTTTAACAAAAGAATTAAAAAATGGGTAAAACTAACAAAGGGTAAAATTATCATTTAAAAATGCAAAAATCACACCGGAATATGCCAGACAGTACTACTGTACTGATCAGAGTGGTCGCAGTTATAAAACTACAGTGAGGAAAATAATGATTTGATTCCCTACAGATTTTGTAAGTTTTCCCACTTACAAAGAAATGAAAGGTCTATCATTTTTATCATAGGTGTATTTTAAATGATAGAGACAGACTATCAACCAAAAATCCAGAAAAAAAACACGATACAAATGTTATAAATTGAGTTGCAGTTCAGCGAGTAAAATAAGTATTTGATCCCCTACCAACCAACAATAATTCTGGCTCCTCCCACAGACTGGCCATGTGGTACACAAATGAGTCCTGTCACTTTAAGAAGGTGCTCCTAACGACAACTCGTTATGTATATAAAAGACACCCGTCCACAGAATCTCTTTCTTCCATTCAAACCTCACCACCATGGGCAAGACCAAAGAGCTGTCAAAGTATGTTAGGGACAAGATCGTATAAGATCACGGTTGAAAACACTGCACGCTGCGTCGCAAAAAAAGGCACATGTGCCTTTTTTTCCAGCGCGGATGTAACCCCATTGAAATCGATAGGGCGGTGCGGCAACCGCTGTATGCAACCGCACAAGATCCCCCAAGTCTGCACCAGCCCTAAAGGGTAAATTCACTTTCCCAATTTGGGAAAATGGAATTACCCGCACAAATCTGGCCCCCTCTCGCTCCCTGCTATACTTACCTTTCCGCGAACAGTG